GATTTTCGGCTTTAGCGTCATTATTGTATATATATTGAATTATAGTTTTCGAAAGTTTTATCACTTTTTGTTTATAATTGACATTTTTACAGCAACTTTAAAAAATTGACGTTTTATACCGGTTTTTCAATCTCACGGCTTTGTTATTGCAAATTTCGTAATCGGGCCTCCGCCATTTTGTAGCTATTTTTATTACGAACAAAATCATGTCCTAAGCATTTTTTCGTACAAAGTCATCCCGCTGAGTTATTTAAAGAAAACTACTAAAAAAAATTTGTTCACGATTAAATTGTTAATAACTTTTTTTGCTGATAAAATACTTTGTCAGCAAATTAGCCTGTTATTGTACTCATCATTTAAAGTATTCCTGTGTAGTTATTTCCGAGTTATCAAGGAAATGCCACCAACAGTAACTTTTCGGCCTCTGCCGACTGGACTAATATCTGCGGCGAGAAAAAAAGAGTCTAGTTATACAGAAACTTAACTTTAAAAGTGGTCTTTTTTGTCTGCTGAATTTGATATTTCAAAGTAACCCCTCCTCATCACCGACATCAGTATTTACAAAACAGTAACCCTTTCATTTATACCCTCCTTTAAATGAGGAATTCTAATTCATTTGCAGAAAAAAAAACACATTTTGATTAAAACTTTATGCTGCGAATTTTTTATTTATGTTTAGTACATAATTAAAAATGTTTTATAGTCATTAAAAGTGTTTGTAGATTGGAATTTAATTATTGTATTTCAGTTCTGTATGTCTTCTATAATAAAAAGTAACAGCGGTTTTGAGGATACTTTTGATTATGGAAATGAACTTTATTTTGAATTGAGATCTCAAGTATAATTTGTCTGGAGAATTTAAAGTGGAATAGGTACACAAATCGAACTTAATGAAAACCTATTTAGAGAATTGGATTTATTACAAGGAATATATTCTCGATTATATTTTTAGTTTAACAGTTTAGTAGAAAATTACAGCTGCTTTCACCTTAATGTTTCAAAGGCGTGTTTGTATGTACATAAAATAAATAGTAAGCTTTCTAGGAGAAGTCCTGATATATTCAAAGGTTCTTCCTATACAAACAGACCGAGGGGTGCAGAATAAAATATTCGATGGCCTTTATTTACCGACGGTATCCCCTTAAGCTGTTAACTGATTCGCATCGAAGCTATAGAGTACCACCTTGGTCTGGACCATAGTTATTTATATACCAAGCACAGAAGATTGTTTTATGTTCTGTGTCCCAAGTCTGTGGGGAGTTGTACAAATAAGGATCAAGCTGAAGCCAAACTCTTGTTTGCAAGACAACAGAAACGCCTCGAATAGTATAAACAATATCCCTGCTATCGACAGAATCAGAAATTGCGCTTGGATTTTTTAACACCATATGATGTTACCGATAAAAATCTTTTGTAAATGTAATTAATCTTGTTTAAATTAACACTGAACTTAACTATGACCTCTAAAGACTTCAATATCCCAAATTTGTTTCAAATAACGCCCCTTTGTAGGTTCAAAACAAGTTATCGAAGTGCAGTGCAAACGCTTCGAACCGAATCCTTTATCAGTAAATCATCTTATAAAAGGTGTCACAAAATGCAAAGAAGCGCAAGAAGTAATTCTGATAGAAAACACAAATTTTTAATTAAACATTTTAATTTTTTATTGGTTCATACAGCATAAGGTTATGTATGGAATAGCATATTGGGTAAATGGCCTCCATGGCTTTGCTGCCACATACGCACTCTTTTGTCGAAATATTACATGACCGTTTTGTATAAATGCGGCTGAATTTCGTAGATACTGCGCTCAATTTCCTCCTTCAAACCGTAGGTAGTCCTGGGCTTGTTAACATCAAATTTAGACTTCAAAAAACCCCAAAGAAAAAAGTTCAACGGCGTTAAGTTGTAAGATCTGGGCGGCCAATTCTGATCAACAAAACGAGAAATTACACGACCAGGAAATGACTCATGCAGTAATTGAATGTTGTATGGCATGTGGCATCGTCTTGTTGAAACTATATGTCGTTTATATCCTTATCTTGCAATTGAGCCACAAAAAACTGGATAATCATGTTCCAATAGCTAGCATCACTAACCGTTATTGCCTGGCCTGCCGCATTTTCTTCCAAAAAAATACATGCTTTTACATTATACTACTACATATTTTTCTATTTCCACAATCACTCAAAATTCCTTCTACATATGGTGTGGTGGACCATTTTCAAGTTATATTACGTGCTATAAGACTTTACTACATTAATTTTTACAATTTTATATTCAAAAGCTTTCATAAATTTAAGAAATATGAACAAATAACAAATTTTAATGAGACCAAAGATGATATTAGGACACAACTTTATGTTGTATGAATTAACCTTGTAATACCAAATTACTTCATATTTTTTCCTTATGCATATGGTATTAATACTAATACAATTGTACTTAAAAAAATGATTAATGATGTTTACCAGAAAACGAAATGTTACAATGAAAAGTCTGATTTGAATAGAGAAGCAAAGTTATTTTTGAAAAAGTTTTCTTTTCGTATAGCTTTTCAAATAAACCCACGAAACAATAAATCAGAAGTCTGAAAATTTTTTTAAAAACTTCAAAAACTAAGGAAAATATTTCCGATTTCTCTATAAATTAGGCAATTTTGATCCAATTTAACTATTTCCAACAATTTTCACATCAACAAAAGTAACGCACCAAAATAAATGTTCTCGATTTTAATAATTTTCATTTTTTCAAAGTTATTAAGGCAATTATAACAGCGCCACA